ACATGTCTCCCTATACCAACACCCTAACACACGTTTCCCCATCCCAACCCACTACCACATGTCTCCCTATACCAACACCCTAACACACGTTTCCCCATCCCAACCCTCTACCACATGTCTCCCCATTCCATTCCCCTAACACGCGCATTCCCATCCCAACCCCCTACCACATGTCTCCCCATTCCATTCCCCTAACACGCGCATTCCCAACCCAACCCACTAACACATGTCTCCCCATCCCAACCCTCTACCACATGTCTCCCCATTCCATTCCCCTAACATGCGCATTCCCATCCCAACCCCCTCACACATGTCTTCCCATCCCAACCACCTAACACATGTCTCCCCATCATAAACCCCTACCACATGTCTCCCCATCCCAACCCCTACCACATGTTTCCCCATCCCAACCCCCTAACACGCGTTTCCACATCCAAACCCACTACCACATGTCTCCCCTTTCCAACCCTCTACCACATGTCTCCCCATCCCAAACCCCAACCACATGTCTCCCCATCCCAACACCCTAACACACGTTTCCCAATTCCATTCCCCTAACACGCGCATTCCCATCCCAACCCCCTCACACATGTCTCCAAAACCCAAACCCCCTACGACATGTTTCCATACCCAAACCCCTACCTTATATCTCCCCATCCCAACCCCCAAATACATGTCTCTCCCATCCCAACCCCCTAACACATGTCTCCCCATCCCAACCACCTAACACATGTCTCCAAATCATAAACCCCTAACACATGTCTCCCCATTCCAAACCACAAAGACACGTATTTCCATCCCAACCCCTACCACATGTTTCCCCATCCCAACCCCCTAACACGCGTTTCCACATCCAAACCCACTACCACACGTCTCCCCTTTCCAACCCACTACCACACGTCTCCCCTTTCCAACCCTCTACCACATGTCTCCCTATCCCAAACCCCTACCACATGTCTCCCTATACCAACCCCCTAACACATGTTTCCCCATCCCAACCCACTAACACATGTCTCCCCATCCCAACCCTCTACCACATGTCTCCCCATTCCATTCCCCTAACACTCGCATTCCCATCCCAACCCCCTACCACATGTCTCCCCATTCCATTCCCCTAACACGCGCATTCCCATCCCAACCCCCTCACACATGTCTCCCCATCCCAAACCCCAACCACATGTCTCCCCATCCCAACACCCTAACACATGTCTCCCCATCCCAACCCATTAAGACATGTTCCCCACCCCAACCCCCTACCACATGTCTCCCCATTCCAACCTCCTAGCACGCGCATTCCCATCCCAACCCCCTTCCACATGTCTCCCCATTCCATTCCCCTAACACGCGCATTCCCATCCCAACCCCCTCACACATGTCTCCCCATCCCAAACCCCAACCACATGTCTCCCCATCCCAACACCCTAACACACGTTTCCCCATCCCAACCCACTACCACATGTCTCTCCTTTCCAACCCCTACCACATGTCTCCCTATACCAACCCCCTAACACATGTTTTCCCAATCCCAACCCACTAACAAATGTCTCCCCATCCCAACCCTCTACCACATGTCTCCCCATTCCATTCCCCTTACACGCGCATTCCCATCCCAACCCCCTACCACATGTCTCCCCATTCCATTCCCCTAACACGCGCATTCCCATCCCAACCCCCTCACACATGTCTCCCCATCCCAAACCCCAACCACATGTCTCCCCATCCCAACACCCTAACACATGTCTCCCCATCCCAACCCATTAAGACATGTTCCCCACCCCAACCCCCTATCACATGTCTCCCCATTCCAACCTCCTAGCACGCGCATTCCCATCCCAACCCCCTACCACATGTCTCCCCATTCCATTCCCCTAACACGCGCATTCCCATCCCAACCCCCTCACACATGTCTCCCCATCCCAAACCCCAACCACATGTCTCCCCATCCCAACACCCTAACACACGTTTCCCCATCCCAACCCACTACCACATGTCTCTCCTTTCCAACCCCTACCACATGTGCCCCCGTCCCAACACCCTAACACATGTTTCCACATCCAAACCTCCTACCACATGTCTCCCCATCCCAATACCCAAATACATGTCTCCCCATCCAAAACCCCTACCACATGTCTCCCTATACCAACCCCCTAACACATGTTTCCCCATCCCAACCCACTAACACATGTCTCCCAATCCCAACCCTCTACCACATGTCTCCCCATTCCATTCCCCTAACACGCGCATTCCCATCCCAACCCCCTACCACATGTCTCCCCATTCCATTCCCCTAACACGCGCATTCCAATCCCAACCCCCTCACACATGTCTCCCCATCCCAAACCCCAACCACATGTCTCCCCATCCCAACACCCTAACACAAGTCTCCCCATCCCAACCCACTAAGACATGTCTCCCCATCCCAACCCCCTCACACATTTCTCCCCATTCCAACCTCCTAGCACGCGCATTCCCATCCCAACCCCCTACCACATGTCTCCCCATTCCATTCCCCTAACACGCGCATTCCCATCCCAACCCCCTCACACATGTCTCCCCATCCCAAACCCCAACCACATGTCTCCCCATCCCAACACCCTAACACACGTTTCCCTATCCCAACCCACTACCACATGTCTCTCCTTTCCAACCCCTACCACATGTGCCCCCATCCCAACACCCTAACACATGTTTCCACATCCAAACCTCCTACCACATGTCTCCCCATCCCAATACCCAAATACATGTCTCGCCCATCCCAACACCCTAACACATGTCTCCCCATCTCAAACCCCTACCACGTGTCTCCCCAAACCCCTACCACATTTCTCCCTGTACCAACCCTCTACCATATGTCTCCCCATTCCAACACCCTAACACATGTCTCCCCATCACCACACCCTACCACATGTCTTCCCATCCCAAACCCCTAACACGTCTCCCCATCAAAACCCCTACCACATGTCTCCCCATTCCAACCCTCAAACACTCGTATTCCCATCCCAACCCCTACCACATGTCTCCCCATCCAAACCCCCTAACACACGTTTCCCGATCCCAACCCCCTACCACATGTCTCCCCTTTCCAACCCTCTACCACATGTCTCCCCATACCAACCCCCTACCACATGTCTCCCCATCCCAACACCCAAATACATGTCTCGCCCATCCCACACCCTAACACATGTCTCGCCCATCCCAACACCCTAACACATGTCATCCCATCCTAACCACAAATTACATGTCTCCCCAAACACCAAACCCCTACCACATGTCTCACTAAACCAATCCTCTACCACATGTCTCCCCATACCAATACCCTAACACATGTCTCCCCATCCCCCAACCCCCTACGACATGTTTCCATACCAAAACCCCTACCTTATATCTCCCCATCCCAACCCACAAATACATGTCTCTCCATCCCAACCCCCTAACACATGTCTCCCCATCCCAACCACCTAACACATGTCTCCCCATCATAAACCCCTACCACATGTCTCCCCATTCCAAACCACAAAGACACGTATTCCCATCCCAACCCCTACCACATGTTTCCCCATCCCAACCCCCTAACACACGTTTCCACATCCAAACCCACTACCACATGTCTCCCCATCCCAACCCCCTACCACATGTCTCCCCATCCCAAACCCCTACCACATGTCTCCCCATCCCAACCCCCCAACACGCGTATTCCCACCCAAACCCCCTACCACATGTCTCCCCTTGCCAACCCCTAGCATATGTCTCCCCATCCCAAACCCCTACCACGTCTCCCCATCCCAACCCCCTAACACGCGCATTCCCATCCCAACCCCCTACCACATGTCTCCCCATCCCAACCCCATAACACACGTATTCCCATCCCAACCAAATATACTCTGACACAGCTACACCTACATCTACATTAACATGTCTTGTAGAGGGACGTACACTGATTGGACTGCGATTATCACACGCTGACACAGGTACACCTACATCTTTAGAACAATGTCCAGTAGATGATCGTGCACTGAGAGAACTGTGAGTATCACACTGTGACACACCTACATCTACATTAGCATGTCTCGCAGAGGTTTGACTCGTACACCGAGTGGACTGTGATTATCTCACTCTTACACAGCTGCACCTACATCTACAGAAACATGTCTAGTACTGTGTCGTACACTGTGGAATGTGATTATCTCACACTGACACCGAGACATCCATATCTACCGAAACATGTCCAGAGGAGTGTGGACTTTGAGTATATCACTGTGACACACACACACACACACACACACACACACACACACACCGACATCTACAGAAACATGCCTCGTCGAGTGGTCTGTGATTATCTCACTCTCTCACAGCTGTACCTGCGAGAACATGTCTAGTACTGTGTCGTACACAGTGGAATCTGAGTCACCTGTGTCACCATCTACGGAACCATGTCCAGTGGAGCGCTGTACACTGAGAGGATTGTGAGTATTGCACACTGAAAGAGATACACCTAAATCTATATAGACATGTCTAGTGGAAGGTTGTACAATCTGTGGACTGTAAGTGTGACACTCTGACACATCTACATCTGCATCTACAGAAATATGTCTTGTAAAGTGTTGAACACCGAGTGGACTGTGAGTACCACACTCTATTATGTGCTGTTGATATTGTGTTACGTGTGACTATGCTGACATTTAGCTGGTTTGTTTGTTTGTTGTTGGGTTTTTAATTTTTGATGCCACTCTCAGCATTATTCCTGCTCCATAATGTCAATATGTAAACACTGGAATCTGCACCAGAAAATCATTAACATTGATCTACACTATCAGGATACAATGACATGCATCAACCAAGTATGTGAGCCTGACAAGCCGATACGGTTAGTTGCCTCCACAGGCAGGGGTTCCCGAAGATCAGTTCTAACTTAACACAATTACGATAGAACGTTTTAAAAGAAGATATCAAATCTTGGATTGTTTAAAGGCATAAACCTGGAAAGAATTTATACTAACCTCTAACTCCTCCTTAAGCTGTTTCTGAAACAGAAATACGAAATTCATGTCAGTGGATTCAGATATATAGGATTATTTTGAAACATGTATCAAAAGAATGGAAATTTAGTCATGGATAGGCAAGCTAAGCTGAATATCATGAGTGTTCTTCTGATGTTAACTAAGGTAAATAATTACACTTAGCGATGAATCGTCCCTCAGAGCCTGAAATAAACAATGTGATCATTAGGAAATATGAATAGGTACAAAAACTAAGTTACTTCTTCAGACTTAATCTAGTGTTTAACAATGCAGTGTAACCTGGTAGAAACTGTGTATGGCTTGTTGAGCGAGGAGTGAACATGGAACTAAATACATGCCAGGCATCATGTATAACCTACAGGGAATTGATCTTAGGAGCTTAGACATAACAACAGCTATTATTAGAATGATTCAATAAACTTCATGGCCAACGGTGTAATAGTATGTTGGATATCAAAAAAGAAATCTGTATGTAATGTTCAACAACTCTATTGTCAGGGAATTCCTCAAAGTCATGCAAAGTCGTGACTCAGATGTGAAGATGCACTGAGGTGAGGTGAAATTGGGGTTTACGTCACGTCCAAGATGATTGCACTTATATAGCGACGTGTGTGTGTGTGTGTGTGTGTGTGTGTGTGTGTGTGTGTGTGTGTGTGTGTGTGTGTGTGTGTGTGTGTGTGTGCGCGCGCGCGTGTATGAGTGTGAGTGTGAGTGTGAGTGTGAGTGTGTGTGTGTGTGTGTGTGTGTGTGTGTGCCGGCTTGTACTAGTCACAGTATACTGACTCCCAGACGACCAGTCCTTGTTTTAGCCCCTGTATGCCGGGCGCAAGACAGGGTGACAACAAGTACCATCTTTTAATGTATTTTGGTATGACTGCGGAGGCGGTCGAAGACGCACTGTGACGACTGAGCAAAATATGGGCTCCTCGCATGCACGACACCATCCAAAAATTTATGCCAGGCATTCGCCTAAGCACTTAGGTCACGTGCGCAATATACAAGGCAGGCAGCCGATACCGGGACACTGTCAAAAATGACTTCTACCGTATACACAGTGATAGGTGACGTCCATGCTTTCTCAATGTGAATAGTAGCTGTTTTGAGTGAGTGAAATAAATTTAAAGATGTCAACGAGCACCCCTAACATCTTGACAACATGCTGTGTGTGAATGACATGTTGCTTAACATTGGTTTTGAGATAAGATACATCAACATACACGCAGGTATATTTGAAGCAAGGACATGTACACAAGAATATGGTGAGGTGAGGCGAGGCGAAATATTCCAGTATAGTTCACTCATATAGGGACGTTCATGCACGTTCGTGAATGTGGCTGCTTATACTATTCCGGAGTAATGCTGGTTTTATAGTGCTAGCCCACTGAAATACCATGTCACAGTTTAATTGGCATTCCCCTCTCAGAGACATTATTCTGACTCAAGCTAACCACGCCTGGTATTATTCTCTAAATGCAGAGTTCGATTTCCGACATTGGTACAATGTATGAAGCCCATTTCTGGTGTTCCCCGCCGTGATATTGCTGGAATATTGCTAAAGGTGGCGTAAAACCTCACTCACTCCTCACTCTAAATGCCGAATGGGTAACAAGAAGTACCATCTGTTAACGTCTATGGCGCGGCCAGAGGATCAAACCAGTAACCATCACTCTCCAGGCAGACGCTCTATCCACCAAACTCTGGAGGTGGTGTAACACAACGAGAGAAGTGATTTGTAGGAAGTCATTGAATGATTTTATAGGGGCACAAAACGATGGCAATGTTGAGAACTTCCGCTTGGAAGTAAGCCTGGTTTAAAAGACGTGTGTTCGACACACACACATCAACATCAGAGTGAGTGAGTATTTAGTATTTATAGCCACATCGGCAATATTTCAGCCATATCGTGACTTACATCAACATCAACATGGTCCTGATATATTGTACTATATTTCCCCAGCCATCAAACAAAACGTCGACTCACTGGGATTACGTCAGCAGGTAACCCGTGTCAAGTGACAATGAGGTCTATTCAATCATCTACGTGAAATCAACACAACAAACTTTCTCCGTGCTTCACATGCCACCTATTTTACTGCAACGGGAAGTGCAAGCTGTTGTTTCGGCGAGGGGGGTAGAATCATAAACTGTTTAAATCCTTATCTTACTCGTAATCCAAGAATTGCGGTTGAGGCAAGTGGACGGTGCACCGAATTTGGGCCAACATATTTGGTTTGGTGTACACACGTTGTGCACGTGATGGTCATCACGATGAAATCGACTACGCTCCCCAGGAAACACGTGTTGCTCAAAAAGACTTTCGCCATCGGTGTGACATGTTGATACCAGAATTCGAAGTCGATTGTTAGATTTGTGTTTGTTTGTTTGTTTGTTGTTTAACGCCGCACTCAGCAATATTCCAGCTATATGACGGGAAGCATGGTTTGTTAGATGTTAATTACAAACAAATATAGATACTAAAGTTAACAAATGTTATATTTGGGAAAATACTCATTTGTAAGTACACATTTTTGTACTGTTTTGGTTAAGTCCCGTTCGGGAAAAAATACTAGAATTTGTATTTTACCTGAGTGAGTGAGTATGGTTTTATGCCGCTATTCTAGAAATATCACGGCGGGGGCCACCAGAAATGGGCTTCACGCATTGTACCCATGTGTGGAATGGAACCCGGGTCTTCAGCGTGATGAGCGAATTCTTTGCCCATTAGGCTACGCCGCCGTACTATTCTACTAAGACAGAGTTATCCCAAATATAACTTTGGTTTTATTGGACCACTTTCCAAATGGCATATTGCAAAAAATTGTATTAACAGCTTTTGGAAATGGGAGCCGTGTCAATATACTCTCGTGAGAGGGGTATACATGGTCCGTGATCTAGACTGCCACTTATCCGATTTCCATTTTTGTGGAAGCCTCCTTGTCTGAGCTGGTTAGATCGCTGACTTTGTGTGCTAGCGATTAGGTGCCTCACGCTGAGAGTGTGGGTTCGAAACCCGAATGGGATTCAACCTAGAAAGGCACTAGAATGTGCACTTTTCGAAGAAACTGCTATCCCAGATGTAGCATTTGGTACATTTGACCACTTTCTAAATGACATTGTGGATTCATGTCAAAGCAAGGTAAGCATGGCCAAATCATACATTCTCAGGCTTGAGAATTGGCCTATAATGTCATAAATTACATGTAGAAAGAATAACCAAATGAATCTCAAGCAGTGTCACGATAAGTCTCAACTGTTGTTATCTATGGAACACACACACACATCAACATCAGAGTGAGTGAGTATTTAGTATTTATAGCCACATCGGCAATATTTCAGCCATATCGTGACTTACATCAACATCAACATGGTCCTGATATATTGTACTATATTTCCCCAGCCATCAAACAAAACGTCGACTCACTGGGATTACGTCAGCAGGTAACCCGTGTCAAGTGACAATGAGGTCTATTCAATCATCTACGTGAAATCAACACAACAAACTTTCTCCGTGCTTCACATGCCACCTATTTTACTGCAACGGGAAGTGCAAGCTGTTGTTTCGGCGAGGGGGGTAGAATCATAAACTGTTTAAATCCTTATCTTACTCGTAATCCAAGAATTGCGGTTGAGGCAAGTGGACGGTGCACCGAATTTGGGCCAACATATTTGGTTTGGTGTACACACGTTGTGCACGTGATGGTCATCACGATGAAATCGACTATGCTCCCCAGGAAACACGTGTTGCTCATAAAGACTTTTGCCATCGGTGTGACATGTTGATACCAGAATTCGAAGTCGATTGTTAGATTTGTGTTTGTTTGTTTGTTTGTTTGTTGTTTAACGCCGCACTCAGCAATATTCCAGCTATATGACGGGAAGCATGGTTTGTTAGATGTTAATTACAAACAAATATAGATACTAAAGTTAACAAATGTTATATTTGGGAAAATACTCATTTGTAAGTACACATTTTTGTACTTTTTTGGTTAAGTCCCGTTCGGGAAAAAATACTAGAATTTGTATTTTACCTGAGTGAGTGAGTATGGTTTTATGCCGCTATTCTAGAAATCACGGCGGGGGCCACCAGAAATGGGCTTCACGCATTGTACCCATGTGTGGAATGGAACCCGGGTCTTCAGCGTGATGAGCGAATTCTTTGCCCATTAGGCTACGCCGCCGTACTATTCTACTAAGACAGAGTTATCCCAAATATAACTTTGGTTTTATTGGACCACTTTCCAAATGGCATATTGCAAAAAATTGTATTAACAGCTTTTGGAAATGGGAGCCGTGTCAATATACTCTCGTGAGAGGGGTATACATGGTCCGTGATCTAGACTGCCACTTATCCGATTTCCATTGTTGTGGAAGCCTCCTTGTCGGAGCTGGTTAGATCGCTGACTTTGTGTGCTAGCGATTAGGTGCCTCACGCTGAGAGTGTGGGTTCGAAACCCGAATGGGATTCAACCTAGAAAGGCACTAGAATGTGTACTTTTCGAAGAAACTGCTATCCCAGATGTAACATTTGGTACATTTGACCACTTTCTAAATGACATTGTGGATTCATGTCAAAGCAAGGTAAGCATGGCTAAATCATACATTCTCAGGCTGGAGAATTGGCCTATAATGTCATAAATTACATGTAGAAAGAATAACCAAATGAATCTCAAGCAGTGTCGCGATAAGTCTCAACTGTTGTTATCTATGGAACACACACACACATCAACATCAGAGTGAGTGAGTATTTAGTATTTATAGCCACATCGGCAATATTTCAGCCATATCGTGACTTACATCAACATCAACATGGTCCTGATATATTGTACTCTATTTCCCCAGCCATCAAACAAAACGTCGACTCACTGGGATTACGTCAGCAGGTAACCCGTGTCAAGTGACAATGAGGTCTATTCAATCATCTACGTGAAATCAACACAACAAACTTTCTCCGTGCTTCACATGCCAGCTATTTTACTGCAACGCGAAGTGCAAGCTGTTGTTTC